AAAAAAAAAAAAAAAAGAAAAGGGGGCAAAAATAGATGGGCAAAAAAATAGATGGGAACAAATAGAAAACACCCACATGCATCAATCCCTACATCAAGCATATGTGGACTAAATATTCCAATTCAAAGGCAATAATATCACCCTGGATAAGGAACAAATATAATTTCTCTGAGAATTAAAAACAATATACCTTAAACAATGATACAGAAAGATTGAAAGTAAAAGGATGGAAAAAGGACTGTCATGCAAGTATTAACCAACAGGAAGCTGGTGTATTTAGTAGACAAAGTAAACTTTCAGGTAAGAAGTGTTATTAGAGTATGAGGGGTATTTCATGATGATAAAGGGCTCGCTTTACCAGGAATGATGGCTGGGGTATTTGTGCTGTCTGTGAAGCTCAGATGGGCTTCCCTGTGGCCCTGCCTCACCTTGGTGATGGCCCAGGAACCTAAGCCAGACTTGGAGCTGGTCGAAGAGGAGCCAGTGTCTTAAGTGTTTGAAGATTGTGTGCATGTGTGTGTTTAGGGGAAAACATGAGAGGTGGTGTACTATTCAAAAGGACAAGAAGGAACACTGTCTTTTATAAATAACATAAATGCTGGCTCTGAGCCTTTCCCACCTCCTGCTTTTTTTGGGTCCAGATTACTAAGAAATTTTATTAATGGTAGTTCACGTTTAAAAAATTCTTGCATTCTAAGTGCTTTGCACGTAGCTATTTAATCCTCACAACAGCCTTAGGAGACGGGCATCATCACTACTATCACTGCTTTACAGATGGAAAAACCAGCAACTGTCAGAGCTGATATTCAAGATAAGCCAACTCAGATTCTAAGTTTCAGCTTCTAACCATAGTGTGGCCTCAGGGTTTTATAGATTGTTCAGCTCTTTAGATGAACACCACAGCTCATGGAGGAAGGTCCCTTCCATTTGGATGGCTCCAGGTTGTCATGGAAATCCTCTGTATACAAGAGGGTAGGGAGGAGGATGAGAAGCAATATACATGCTTATTGGGACTTTCTGTGACCTCAGGACTTAGCCAGGTACATTATAGCAATGTTAAATACAGCATTAGTCCCATTTTAACTATGAGAAAAGTCTTAAAGTTTGGGGACCATCAGAGCAAGGCACATTGGTAAGGGCAGACAAGGGATTCATCTGACTCCAATGCCTCTTCCCTGGTAAACTACTCTGGCTTGTCACACCTTGAAATTAGAGTCAACTTGTTAAATCTTGACATGCTGCTAAATTGTTAATTATACCCCCAGGAGCTGTGACTGGAGCAGCAGGGATGGTATGGCTGCACTGTACTATTATTAGCACTAGATGGTGCTGTAACACCACATATCTCTACCACGGTGGTCCTTGGAGGAAGGTTACTTCAGGGCTTGGAGACACTGGAGGGGAGGATGCTACCTTACCAGAGCAGGAAAAAAACATGGAAGACAGCTCACTCTCTTGGCCCTGATATTCTGGTCCCTGACGCCAAACTTTGGGAAAGCTGGAGTCTGTAGCCTCCAGGTGGCTCCAGAATATGCAGTACTAGCAGCCTGGGTTTTGCTCAGTCAACCATGAACTCCTGGTCCCCCCAAGCCCTAGTGAGTGGATTGGAATACACACCCACCCACCTCCTTAGAGTCTTCTACCAGTGGCTGGAGGTATCTAGACACGTAGGAGCTTGGCATCATGTTAGATGCTAAGGAGACTGGCTGTCTGTAATACCAGTGGGGTGCGCTCCCAACCCTGTTGTACCACTTTCCCGTGCGCCTCCTGGAGAGCCTCCTGCTGAGGCTGCAGAATTGTCTAGCTTGAGAAACTATATCAAGGTTGCTTCTTGATGGCCTGGCAGCTCGCTGAAGAGCTGCCTTGAGTTCAAAACAGTTTTAGGGAGATTGTCATAAACTCAGTGGGTTTAAATGATTTACACTGACTCTTCAAAAGTGTCAAGGTCATGAAAGACAAAGGCAGAGGAACTGTCCCAGATTGGAGGAGAAGGGAGACATGGCAGCTGTACCTGCACCATGAGTCCTGAACCAGGAAAAGGAGCTCAGTGGGACGACTGGTGACTTTTGGATGCAGTCTGCAGGTAAGCTAATAGTATTGCTTTGATGTAACTTCTTGGTTTTGATCGTTGTACTATAGCTATGCAGAATGTTAACATTTGGGGAAGCTGGGTAAAGGGTATATGGGTATTCTTTGTGCTATTTTTGCAAATTTTCTGGTCAAGTTTGAAATTATTTCAGAATTGAAAGTTAATAAAAGTTATAAAAGTGTTCTTAACATTATTATGGAATATTTCAAACATATGGAAAAATGTAGAGGATAAGCCTGGCCACTTTTACAGGTGACTCAAGGGTACTGTTTGTGCTAGACAGAAGGAATGAAGTTTCTGCAAGACTTTAAGCATTGAGCTCTGTTGTCTCCCTCTCTGTCCAGAGGTGGCTCCTGGTGGTTGAATCAGATCATTATGTTTTGGGCAAGAGCTATTTAAATTTTTGACGGCCTCTGTTTTAGAGTGAATTAGCAGAAAATCCACCTCTGTGACCATAGTATTTGCTTAATGAAATAGCACCTTATTCCCATGCCCTACATAGCAATTCTCTTGGGAGACTTTTTTTTTTTTCCCCAAACCTTGTCTTTTATTATAGGGATCTAATCATTAGTGTCTAAAACAAAAACATATAGATAAAGATGGCCCCACTTGCTTAATGCTGCTTTTGATTCTTTCACTTCTTTAATTTCTAATGTTAGAACAGTTTTAGAGTTTCAGAAAAATTGCAAAGGTGATACAGTTACCATATTCTCTGCACCCAGTTCCTCCTATTTTACCAGCTTACCTTTGTACCATAGGTTTGTTGCAATTAATGAACCAATATTGATACATTATTATTAACTAGATTCCATACTTTATTTAGATTTCCTTAGTCTATCTAATGTCTCTTTTCTGTTCTAGAATCCCCTCCAAGATTCCAAGACATCACAGTAAATTTAGATGTCACATCTATTTATGCCACTCTAGGTTGTGACAGTTTCTCAGACTTCTTTGTTTTTGATGGCCTTGATATTTTTGAGAGTATGGACTGAGTATTTTTATAGGATGTCTCTTGACTTGGGATTTGTCTGATATTTTTCTCATGATTAAACTGGGGTTATGTGTTTTTAGGAGGAAGACAACAGGGGTAAAGTGCCATTTTAATCACATCATATCAAGAATACACAGTATCTCTGGGTGCGGTGGCTCACACCTGTAATCCCAGCACTTTGGGAGGCTAAGGCAGATCACTTGAGGTCAGGAGTTCAAGACCAGCCTGGCTAACATGGTAAAACACTGTACTAAAAAAATACAGAAATTAGCTAGGCATGGTGGTGGGTGCCTGTAACCCCAGCTATTTAGGAGGCTGAGGCAGGAGAATTGCTTGAACCCAGGAGGCGGAGATTGCAGTGGGCCGAGGTTGTGCTACTGCACTCCAGCCTGGGCAATATAGCGAGACTCCATCTCAAAAAACAAAACAAAACAAAACAACAACAACAACAACAAAGTATCAACATGATATTGACCTTCACCACCTGGCCACCTGGTAGTATTTGTCAGGTTTCCCCACTGTAAAGTAATTCCCACCTGCCTTCCACACCGAGCTCTTTATAAGGAAGTCACTGTGTACAGCCAAGAAGGAGCAGGGAGTTATGTCTCACTGCTTTGAGGATGGAGTATCTATGTAAATTATTTGGAAATCTTCTCTATGGGGGATTTGTCTCGTGCCTCCCAATTATTTATTTATTCAATCCATTTATTTGTTTTGGTGTGGACTCATGGATATTTATTTTATACGTTGTGCATGTGTACAACCTTGCTCTTTCTCCATGGCCTTAAGCTCCTTATTTTCTGTCTTTTTGATCATAGCCATTTTGTAAGATGACATCTCATTGTGGTTTTGATTTGCATTTCCATGCTAATTAGTGATGCTGTGTTTCTTTACTATATTCCCATCATTGAGACTTTTTTTTTTGAGGATTTGCTTATTTCCTGGCAAAATATGATGTTCCAGGCTCATCTTGTATGTTTTCTGCTCTGGTGCTAGAATCAGCCATTTCTCCAATGAGCTTTTGGGAGATATTTGCTTTCTTGTTTACAGTTAGGATTTTCTCATGAGGGAAGTTTGATGATGGCCTGCAAGCAGAGAGTCAAATACTATCTGATGTCATGAAAGTTAATTGCATCTTCCATCTAGATTTTGCACGTAGAAGACAGTAATTTTAAAAATAGAGAAGTGTATCTGAGAATTCAATTAATCAATACACTTTAGAGTGAATATTATTTTTTGTGTGCTCAAAGGTCTCCTTTCAGTTTGGCTTTGTAGGATTTTATTTATTTATTTATTTATTTATTTATTTTTGTGAAAGAAGAATCAGGGGCAGTGGGGAGTCACCTGCAGGACCAGCGATACCCCCTGTTGCTGCTCTCATGGCCTAAGGAGTCTGTAATAGCATCAGTTTTTTGTCTTTTTGTTTCGTTTGTTTTTTGAGATGGAGTCTTTCTCTGTTGCCCAGGCTGGAGTGCAGTGGCATGATCTCAGCTCACTGCAACCTCTGCCTCCTGGGTTCAAGGATCCTCCTGCCTCAGCCTCCTGAGTAGCTGGGATTACAGGCATACATGATGGCACCTCAGCAAATTTTTGTATTTTTAGTAGAGACAGGGCTTCGCCATGTTGGCCAGGCTGGTCCTGAACTCCTGACGTCAGGTGATCCATCCTCCTCAGCCTCCCAAAGTGCTGGGATTACAGGTGTGAGCCACCGTGCCTGGCCAGCGTCAGTTTTTTTTGGTGCATCTTTTCCGCAATCCTCTCACTACAGATGTTTTCAGTCTTTCCTTCTGCTTGGAATACTTGTGTCTACTTATAGCTTCTTAGTAACCACTGCCTGCTACGACCCTTCATCTTCCCATTTCTGCCTCATGTCTTGTTTCTATGCACTTTTCCAGTTTTAGCCCTGTTGT